TCAAGTGGTTGTTCACCGTCTTAGCTATAGAGGGCTCAGCGTCACTGACCCATGTGGGATCCAAACCGGCGGCCCTGCTGCTCAGAGCTCGTGCTCCCAAGCCAACTCTTAACCAAAAAGCCACTCAGCCTGCCTTGCATATGTCTTTTCAAATTAGTGTTTTGGGTTTCTCTGAATAAATACCCAGAAGGGGAATTATTGGGTCCTTCTTTGTCTATTATTATAAACATTGTTTTAAAGTCTATTTTTGGGGCCGGCTGAGTGGCTCAGTTGGTTAAGAGCTCGCTCAAGAGTTTAAGCTCTGAGCAACAGCGGTTCGAGTCCAGCCTGAGCTGAGCAGCTGCTGAGCTGCCAACAGGTGGCAGGATGGCTCAGCTGAAATAAAAGTCTATTTTTGTCTGGTATAAGTATTACTACTACAGCTTTTTATTTTTTCATTCCAATTTGCATGAAATATCTTCTATTATACCATGCCTTTGCTTTCAGTCTGTGTATGTCGTTTGATCTGAAGTGAATCTTTTGTATGTAGCATATGTAAGGGTCTTATTTTCTTATCCATTCAGCCACCCTATTTCTTTTGATTGGAACATTTAATCCATTTACATTTAAAGTAATTGTAGATAGATATGTAGTTATTGCCACCTTATTATTCATATTTTTTATTTTTTTTATTTTTAAAGAAGTCTCTAACATTTCTTGTAATACTGATTTGGTGGTGATGAACTCCTTTAGCTTTTTCTTCTCTGGGAAGCACTTTATCTCACCTTCAATTCTAAATGATAGCTTTGCTGGGTAGAGTCACCTTGGTTGCATTTCATCACTTTGAATATTTCGTGCCAATCCTTTCTGGCCTGCAAAGTTCCTGTTGAGAAATCAACTAATAGACTATGGGAGCTCCCTTATAGGTAACTGCTTTTCTCTTGCTGCTTTTAATATTCTTTCTTTGTCTTTAACCTTTAACATTTTCATTATGATGTATCTTGGTGTTGGCCTCTTTGGGTTCATCTTGTTTGGGACTCTGTGCACTTCCTGGGCTTGTATGTCTATCTCCTTCACCAGGTTAGGGAAGTTTTTTTTTTGTCATTATTTCTTCAAATAGGTTTTTAATTCCATGCTCTCGCTCTTCTCCTTCTAGTGCTCCTATGATACAAATGTTGGTATGCTTGATGTTGTCGCAGAGGTCCCTTAAACTATCTTTACTTTTTATATTCTTTTTTTTTTGTATTCTTTTTTTTTTCTGTTCTGATTGGGTGTTTTCTGCTACCTTGTCTTCCAAATTGCTCATTCAGTCCTCTGATTCATCTAATCTGTTATTAATTCCTTCTTATGTATTCTTCATTTCAGTTATTGTATTCATTTCTGACTGGTTCTTTTTTTGTGTTTCTATTTCTATTTTTATGATTCCTGTCTCTTTGTTGAAGTTTTCATTGCAATCATTGAGTATCCTTATAAGCAATGTTTTGAACTCTGTGTCTGGTAGATTGCTTTTCTCCATTTTATTTATTACTTTTTCTGGAGCTTTGTTCTCTTCTTTCATTTGAGACATATTTTTTTGTCTCCTCATTTTGGCTGCCTCTCTGTGTTTCCTTCTATGTATTAGGTAAAGCCTGCTATGTGTCCCAGTCTTGGTAGTGGCTTTATGTAGTAGGTGTCCTGTGGGGCCCAGTGGTGCAGTCGCCTGGTCACCTGAGCTGGGTGCTCCTGGTGGGTCCTTTGTGTGGGTTGTGTGTGCTCTCCTGTTGTAGTTGAACCTTGATTGCTGTTAGCACATCAGTGGGAGTGATTTACCTTCAGGCTGATAGGATGTGAGGACTGGCCTTGACTACAGTGGAAAAGCTGTCGTGTAGTAGCTGACCCTACAGAGCAGGATTTGCTTTAGTGGGGCTCTGGTGCCTGCCCAGTCCGCCCTTTGGGTGTGTCATTTTTAGCAGTGGTGCTCCAGTGTGGTCTGAAGCTGGCCATTGGGTATGTTGATTCTGAGGCCTCTTCGCAGGGGCCCTGGTGCAGACCAAGGTCAGCTGCTGCCTGTGCTCTGCCTGCAGCCACTTGATATGTGCTACAAAATGATCTGCAAATGGTTGCTACTTGTGCTGGGCTTGGAGGTACCTGAGAGAGGCTAAGCTGTGAGCTGAGGCCAGCTGCCACTAGTGCCAGATTTGGGGCTGCTTTGTAAGAGGCACACTGAGGCCAGATGCTACTTGTTTAGGGTTTGTGAACCTTTGAGAGATTTTTAGGAAAGTTGGTAACATGAGCCAAGACAGGCTGTTTGTATGGAAAAGCTACTGAAAGTGGCCTGGGTGTGCCCACAAGTTGAGTGGGGCAGAGTCTCAGGAATCACCAGGGTGGGGTGAATGAACAGTGTTAGCCAGGTTGATGGTGACTCAAAAATGGTGGCCACCTGCGTCTGCACACTAGGCTGGGGAAGGGCTCAACAAAGGAACAATGGCTTCTGCCAACACTTCTGTCTGGGAGAAAGCTGCCCCTCCTGCCCTTGGCCTGAAGCCAGACAATTCAGTGCCTCCCCAAATGTCCCTGGCGCCTTTCAAGCTGCTGCCCTAGCACTGGAGTGCAAAGCGAGTGAGTCCATCAGTGAGTGAGTCCATGCACAGGCCCTGGAACTGCATAGTCCTCCATCTCACTCAGCCACAACTTCTGCTGGTTTTCACATCCAGAAGTTTTGGAGACTTCTCTTCCCGGCACTTGAACCCTGGGGTGAGGAGCCTGATATGGGGCTGGGACCCCTTGCTCTTCAGGGGGGACCTCCACAGCCGAGATATCCCTTCTGATTTTTAAGCACTACACGGGGGTGTGGGACCAGCCTTTGTGTGTCTCTGCCCCTCTTACCAGTCTTGAGGTGGCTTCTGTATGTCCTTAGTTATAAGACTTCTGTTCAGCTAGACTTCAGGCGATTCTCAATGATGGTTGTTCTGTAGTTGAGTTGTAATTTTGATGCGGTTGTGGGAGGAGGCAAGCACAGCGTTCACCTACTCCACCATTCTGATCAGAAGCCAAGATTTCCAGACATATATTGGGGAGGACACAGGCATACAGTCCATAACAAAGGGACACCTCCAAAGATACACTTTACCTACTTTACAATTTTGCCCAGGGCCACGATGCTGTCACTTTTGAAAATCAAGAGTGGCATCTTGTGATTTGACAAGATTCAAGAAATTCAGTGCAATAAAAATCACAGGGCACTTTTCATTGTAATACTTTCCCAAGAAGTTATCTACCTTATGCTAGCAAATGATCTCAAGAACACAAAATGCCAATTTAGTTAACAGTCAGAGCCAGTGCTCTATTTCCAGCAACAGTGGATCCTGGACAGGTGAGACCAAATCCACCCAATCTTCCTGAGGTAATGACAACCCCCAATTAAAATGATGGTGGAGGAGGTTCTCAGTACCTGTTAACATCATACCTGTAAAGACTATGTAGATCTTATTATTTTTAAATTGGTTTTTAGACACACCAGTTCCTAATGTAGATTTCTACTTGAAGAAATGCTATCTGAATGTCAGAAGAGGATCATGACCTTCTGTTTTGAAACTGTATCTTGCAATAGAATGTTACTTGTTTATGGGATTCCAATTTCAATTTGAGTTATTTTTGACAGAGCGTTGCTTGTAGCATCAACATGCAGGGCCATGGTGAAGAACGCCTTAATTTAATTTTACTTAATGTGTTCATTCTGTAATTGCTTCCCAGCCACTCAGCTCAGTAGAGTGAGGGACATGAAGTGCTTGCTGGGGATGCTGGCGGGAAAGACATTTTATAAGCGTTTTTAGGCATTGATGGGTACATGGAGCATTCTATTGCCAACAGGTTAGTTAAGACTGTGCAGTTAAAAAGTAATTAGGGTAACTAAAGCACTGAGGGGTTTATATCTATGACAACTGCAAAAAACATAAAGGAGATATTATAAGATAAAAAATGATTGCATGATTATTTGCTTTTTAAGTACATCTATGTTTTCAAAGAAGTTTCTAGAAGGGTCTGCAGCCAGAATGATGCTCCTTAATTGTTGTATGCTTCAGGATAATGGTACTTAAACCTTCCCTCACTTACCTCCCACCAGTTATTCTTAGAGGCAGGTTGGGATAAGGGGGCTAGCAGGGAGATGGCATGAAGAAATGCTACAGAGGAAAAAATGAAATGATGTTAAACCAGTGAGAGAGAGATGGGGATGAGGGGCATTGCAATGTCTTTGAAAGAACCTGATCGCTACAGTCAGGCAATCCCAAATTTCAGTCCCATCTCCACCATATGCCCTGTGAAAGGCACTTCCACTCTCTGAGTACCAGTTTCCTCTCCTGTAAGTTGATAATAACCACAGCACACACTCATATACAGTGGGTATAGTTAGTATTGTTGCCCAAAGGGCCCTGTGTCAAGCAAGGCATCGAAGGCCAGTGTGGTATTTCCCTCATCCCATCCCTACACCATAGCTTGCATGGAGTCTCCAAGAGACAGCTCCTTAATGCGTCCACCTGCCTGCTGCCTTCTGTATCTGCCTTTGCTCTGGGGGAGGAGGGTCAGGGACAAGACAATGGGCAGCAAGATGGTGAGTGGTCAGCTTCCTTGGAGCAGAGTTCCTCCCAGCATGCAGAACGTGGGAGGTGATCCTTTCTAGACAGGGTTAGCAGGAGGCAGTGTTGCCTATCTACAGGTGTATGTGGGACATGGAAACAGTAAATGATTAGTAATTACTTTTTTTTTAAATGTGTCTGCCACCCAGACTGCTTCTGTGTACAGCACCTGGTGAGAACCGCCGCTCCAGGATATGACTATTTTAGGTTGTTTTTAATTAAATGAAAACATTCCTTCCAGACCTGGCATACATGTACCCACAGAGAGTATGTTGGATTGCTTTGAATGTTGCTGGTCTAGAACATTCTAGAAAGGGAGAAAGCAGCTGCTTCTCAGTCATTTGCCTTGGTGCTCAAATGTGCTTGTTTGCAAAGGAAAACATTGGTCATTTATGTAATTTTTTCCAGAACATAATTGCCGAACATGAAATTCGTAATATTTCCTGTGCTGCCCAGGACCCAGAAGACCTCTCAACATTTGCTTATATCACAAAAGATTTGAAGTCGAACCACCACTACTGTCACGTGTTTACTGCCTTTGATGTGGTGAGTAACTACCCTCTTTGGACAGATTAAATATTTCCCCCAATGTACCTGGATTTTATTGAAAGCCCAACTTATAATGAAGATACTTGGCATGTTTACCAAGTATTAAGGTTTACCTATTGTAAAGTATAGTGCAGACTCATCTTTTCTGAGCTTTTTCGATAAAACTCCACTTCTACTTAGTATCTGACCTGTCTTTACTCAACTACTAATTTCACTTTTCAGATTTGACTAATTATTTTCTTTTGGTATCAAAATATAATAAATGTCTTCCAGCCTCCTTTTTCCTTCACTATGTCTGTTGGTTTCTCCGGTAGCCATTTATAAACAGTAGAGTATAATAATCTGCTATTATTGGTAGTTAAATTAGACACCTACCATACAGAAAACCACAAATATTGTATGAGGCACTGAAATTTATTTTTCTCCCAAACAAATCTAGATTATTATACCCAATTCTAGAAAATAACAAGGTTTCCTTTAATAAATAAATGTATATATGTATATATGCGCCTGTAACCATGTAATAATTTATAATCAGAAGAATTCTAAAATGTCCCTTTAATTTAACAATTCTGCTCTGCTCAATGTATTCAAAATACACATATTTAAAGAAGTACATAGAAATTGCAGTGCAATATATTCTTGGGAGGCCAGCCCACAGTTCAACGTCCTGGATAAGGCTACTAGAAACAATCTTTTTCAGTTCTGACAAACACCCATGGACCAAGGACCACCGAAATGCAAAATTTGCACCATTCTAAAGTATGTTAGGCTCATGCCCAGAGCACTTGTATCATGCTACATGTGGCTCATCCCTTCCAGTTTTTGAAAAAATTCCTTCTACCTAGGGAGGCATGAGGAAAGTAATATAAAAGTGGTCTGTGGTGACAGTAAAGATGGCAAAGCAAAGCCCTCAAAGGCCGCTCTAAATATCTCTGGATGCATTTGTTTGCATGGGATCAGCAGAGTTGATTCAAGTCATCTCAGTATTAGGTTTCTGGTGCCTTAAGCATAACTTGTCATTCTTGTGAAGTGCAATTGTTTCTTTTTTTTTTTTTTAAGTGAAAAAATTTTATATTTAGAAATTGCCAGCTGGACTCAGTGTAGATGATCTCAATTTTGTTGGCAACATCCAAAGCATCATAGTCAGGAGCCAGTCGAACATATGCTTTCTTGTCTCCATCAGGCCTGATCAGGGTGTTGACCTTGACCACGTCAATGTCATAGAACTCATTCACAGCCTGTTTGATCTGGCGCTTGTTAACCTTGTCATCCACAATGAATACAAATGTATTGTTGTCTTCTATCTTCTTCATGGCTGACTTGGTAGTCAGGGGGACTTGATGATGGCACAGTGGTCAAGCTTGTTTCTCCTGGGGGCGCTCTTCTGAGGATATTGGGGCTGCTTTTGGAGCTGCAGTGTCTTGGGCCTTTGGAAGGTGGGTGACGTGCAGATTTTCTCTTTCTGTGGCTGTGGACGCCTTTCAGCTCTGCTTTCTTTGTCTTCAAAGCCTTTGCTCTTGCTTCAGCTTTGGGAGGGCAGGCGCATCCTTCTTTGCTATCGGTGCCATCTTCATGAAAAGGCCAATTGTTTCTTTAAACAGCAAAATTCCATTCTATCCACATATGTTTTGGTTTGCATGAAGCACCTCTCTCTGTGGGAGCTGGATTGTTGACCTAGAAGGAGCAGGCAGGTCAGAGTTCACATCCCAACACAGCTGCCTGCTCCCTGATCTTAGACAAGTTGCGAGACTTTCCTGAGTCTGATTTCCACTATGCATATCACAGGTACAAGGATTTATACCTCACAGATGTTCACCAGGATTGAAATGAAGGAACATATGTAGAGTGCCTTATAAATATTAGGTGTTCAGTGTTAGTTCTATCCCCACCTGTTCTCTCTCCTTGCCTACTGACATCACAATTGACAGCCCGGCCCCTTTTTCTCCTAAAGGACATAAGATAGATTTGCCAGAAGTGTATTTATGGTCCAGAGCTTTCCCAGTGCCTTTGTAAAAGAACTGAAAAAAAGCAGAAATAAAAATAAATACAATAGAAACAGTAGAAAGAAAAGATGGACTCTGCAGACCTCATGTTGGTATATTGCCTCTTTGCAGTGTTTTCATTGAATGTCAATATTAATATTTTGATGCTTTGCAGGATGAATTCCAGCTTTTCCTTGAATATTGCAGCGTTTCTTTCTAAATTGGTTTTTACTTGCCTTCATAAGAGTATCCAAAACATTATTCTGTATTCGAACTGAAAATGATACCCATGGACCATTTGCCCCCTTGATAGATTGATAGATAGATAGACCGGGGTGCTAAAAAAATGTATACACATGACTTGTATTCATCTTTTGTTATCGGTATATATTGAGAATTACATTTTTTTAAAGATTTTATTGGGGAATTGGAGGAGGGGAACAGCGCTGGGGAATTGGGGAAAGGGGAACAGACAAGTTGTTGTCCTTTTGTTCTTCAGTCTAGTTGTGGAGGACATTGCTTCACTGGCCCATGTTGGCACCATCATTGCGCTCTTCCCAGGCGAGGCAGATCAGTCGCCAGCTTCTGGATGGCCGCTCACTGCAGCTGCTGGCCACTGACGCTGGCTGCTGGCTACACATGGTAGCTTACGGCAACCCACTGCCACAGGGGCTGCAGCCCACGCCGTCGCAGGCGACTCACGGCAGCCCAGCTCCACGTTGAGCTGTTGTTCAGCATCTTAGCTGTAGGGGGCAGTGTCACTGGCCCTCATATGTGGGATCTGAACCGGGGTCCTCTGGCGTTCCAAGCCAGTTCTCAACCAACGCGCCACTCGGCCGGCCCGAGTATTACAATTTTTTTTTTAAGATTTTTATTGGGTAATTGGGGGGATGGGAACAGTGCTGGGGAATTAGGGGAAGTGGAACAG